TAGGGTTTTGCATATACCCTACTTTGAGTGGAGGAGACTCAGGTACTAAACCCTAAACCCTAAACCCTAAACCCTAATTCCTAAATCATATGTAACGGACCATAAACTCTAAACCCTAAAAAATAAATATTTAGGGTTTATATCATAAACCCTAAACCCTAAGCCCTAGATGATAAACCCTAAAAACCCTAAACCCTAAACCCTCATTGTAGCTCAAAGGCAGCACTAGCCCTTTGCCTACCCCTAAAGCCAACCGAGGGTTTAGGGTTTAGGGTTTAGGGTTTAGGGTTTGTTTGCAGGGGACAGAAGGAGAGAGAAGAGTATATGAAAAAGAAACTGCAGGAAGAACCCACGGAGTGGCTAGACCCTCAAGACGAAGCCTTTTATAACCAGAGGATGGGGGTGAGGGTTTAGGGTTTAGGGTTTAGGGTTTAGGGTTTAGGGTTTGGGGTTTAGGGTTTGGGGGGGGAGGGGGGGGAGAGGGAGGTTTGGGGTTTTGATGCGTTCCTTTGGGCTGATGAAGATGAAAAATAAGGGTTTAGGGTTTAGGGTTTAGAACTAGGGTTTAGGGTTTAGGGTTTAGGGTTTGCTGCTGCTTGTGGTGTTGTGGCTACAGCTGCTGCAGCAGCAGTATCAACAAGAACTAGAAAGACAGAATATGCAGCAGCAGCAGCAGCAGCTGCAGCAGCAGCAGCAGCAGCTGCTGCAGCAGCAGCAGCAGGATGGGGTCCAGACTCCGCAGCTGCAGCAGCAGCCTTCATCAGCAAAGCCAGCGCAGCAGCAGCAGCAGCAGCAGCAAGCGCCGCACTGGCAGCAACAGCAGCAGCAGCAGCCGCAGTGGCAGCAGCAGCAAACCCCGTGGCAGCCGCAGTGGCAGCAGCAACAGCAGCAGCAGCCGCAGTGGCAGCAGCAGCAGCAGCCGCAGTGGCAGCAGCAGCAGCAGCCTCACTGGCAGCAGCAGCAGCAGCAGCCTCAATGGCAGCAGCAGCAACCACCACAGTGGCAGCAGCAGCAGCAGCAGCAGCCTCAGTGGCAGCAGCAGCAGCCACCACAGTGGCAGCAGCAGCAGCAGCCTCAGTGGCAGCAGCAGCAGCAGCAGCCTCAGTGGCAGCAGCAGCCGCAGTGGCAGCAGCAGCAGCAGCAGCCGCAGCAGCAACAGCAACCTCAGTGGGCACAACAGCCACCGCACTGGCAGCAGCAGCAGCAGCCGCAGTGGCAGCAGCCGCAGTGGCAGCAGCAGCAGCAACAGCCGCAGTGGC